CGCGCTCTTCGTGATTTTTAAGCCATTTCCTTTGAGGTACAATTCTTCTTTCCGCTCTTACTGAAGTTAGCAGCAGGCTCAATCCGCCGTGCTAAGGAAAAACGCTGTACGAACATTCGATAGTCGCCAAAATTCCTTCGATAAAAATGTTTATTTTCGAGGATAGTTACGAATATTTTCCTTTGAAATTTTCAGGAGCTACAGGTAAAACTGCGAACAAAATTATATGAAAAAGTGGAGGGAAAATATTCATAAGTTTACCAGAAAATTTGCGTTCTATCAAAGGAAATTTGGCATCGCCTGAAGGTTCATACGGTGTTTTTCCTTAGCACGACAGTATTGAGGTACGCCCTTATGCCAAAGGAGCGCTATTTGAAGCTCCAGGACAGTGCTGGTGAAAAGATCTTCAACTGGCGACTTTTGAGCCGGCAAAAAAATGTGTATCAGGTGACGAAGAATGAAGACGAAAACAAAAGGGTGCGGAAAGCGGGAAGGGGGCGGGGGTAGTAGTCCCTGGAGGAGCAAAAAAGTCAGGAGTCGCTACAAGCCGCGGGCACGGTGACTCCCGGGGGACACTTGAATCTAGTTTGCACAATGCGTGTCATAATAACACGTTTCACGCTTGGACGAGCCCAACAAAGGATGTTTTCTGCGAGCATCGTCGATTAAAGACGGACGAATCCGACTCAAAGGAGGTGATCCCCGCGCATTGTTGCCCGTACAAATATTGTCCCTAGCGTTCCCGATTCACCGCACAACCCGACTTCGGACAATGCCGCCGCGGCCCGCCGTTTCGGTCGCCCGTCCTCTCCAGCATGTTCGGCTCCGCCCTGAACACTCCTGACGCGTTCTTTTTCGCCACTTTCTTCCGCCTTTCGCATGTTATGATTTTTTGGACCCCAGGGAAATATTGAATTTTTTTTTAATTTGTACATAAATTACCATTTTGACGTATTTCTGCCAAACGGGACCAATGACAGATGGGCGAGAAGGGGTGTGCTCGGTAGTCGAGGGCCGTAAAAATGAGTGGGAACTATGAAGCACCAGTGACGTCAGCGGTAACGAAGCCGTCTCCTTTGTCGCTCATGGTCGGCAATAACTCATGAGCCCTGTCCACAACGCTCTTTTCATGAGTGCCGCATTCAGTTACTCATATACTGGAAAAAAAACATCACACATTGGATCTAGAGTCCAGACTCTTGAAAACATTGACAAGAAAAAATACTCTTGTTTCAATCGGATTTTTGCTTGAATCAAAACGAAATCCGCTTAAATTAAGAGACTTTGTTCTTGATTTAAGCTAAATTCCGATTGAATCAAGGGTACATTTTCTTGTCGATGTTTTTAAGTGTCTGGACTCTAGATCTTTTGTGTTTTTTTTTCCAGTGTAGCTTCGTTTGGGAGACTGAAAAAGCCTTTTTTTCCATTTCTCCGTAGGGAATCATGCTCACTTAGCCCTTGTGCCACGATCAAATGAACTTATCAAATAGTCATCAAACGCAAGATGGCGACTCGTTTTCGTCCAAGTTCGCTATCAAATGTTAGCGGGCCGTCAAATTTTGATGAACCCGCCATCTTGTATTTGATGAGTTCATTTGATCGTGGGACGAGGGCTTTCAGCATTATTTCTTATACAGTTTTCTAGAGCACACCTCATCTTTTCCACTCGTCCATAGTTCCGTTTGACATAGATACGTCAATTTGTACAACAGACAGGGCCGAATTAAGGGGGTGGCCACATGGGTCGCGGCCCATGGCGGCAAATTTTGCAATTTTTTTTAAATGTAGCTATAAAGAAAAATCGGATTCAGAAAAAAAATTACGAACGAGAAAAGGTGACAAAATCTCTCATTTCCTGAGAGTATATCTCTAATTTTGTCGTCCGTCTGTGATACAATAGACAGCACCTTTAATTAGTCGAGTTAAGACTAAGAGAGAAACCGAACACGGAATTTGGCCTGGAACGGCGCGGCGCAGAGAGCAATGATGACGAGAACGTAAGATAAAAAGGAGAAACCCTCGGCGCGGCGGTCTGCATGTAACATATATTAGCGCCTACAAGACTGCATGAATACTTCACGCATTGCGCCAAAGACAGTGCGGTCGCTGCGGTCAGCAGCAGGCAGCGTGAAACGCATAGCGCCTACAAGACTGCATGAATACTTCGCGCATTGCGTCAAACACAATGCGTGCAGCAGCGGTCGGCCCGAAAAGCATAGCGCATGTAAGACTGTAGGAATACCTCACGCATTGCGTCGAACACAGTGCGGTCATTGCGGCGAGGCGGCGGAAGTTTATATTATTAAACAACATTTATGTTTGTTCTTTCATAATTTTTTGGTTCATCTCTTATAAATGGAGGGCCTTGGCCATAGAAAGATAGGTTTACGGAACTTAAAGAGCGACGCCAAGAATGGCACAATTTGGGCCAGAAGGGATTTTTCTGAAACCGGGCCCAAACGATACCTTATGATACCCTAAAACTCTGGTAAAAATTTTAGCTTGAGTATACGCACCGTTTTTGAGAAATGGGGGGG